ATCTGGTGATGGGCATATTGGCGGCTTCCAAGGTTTAGCTGCTATGAGCACATGGGTGAGCACGGCCCACTGTAAAATGATCTCACCCTGCCCCTTGCCACCCGCAATAAGGGCTCAGGCCAGCTGACCTCGAGACATACTGCAGCACTAACGCCTCACCTCTACTGCGTAAAGAGAAGCCCGTGCCACTCCGTGGCGTTGGGACCCGGCCCCAACATTTATCTCTTCCTGCTGTGTAGGATAATGTGTGTCGCCACTAGGCAGTGTCATGCGAGGACTGGAATTAGACACAGAACCCTTTGCCGTTAGCTGAGCAGTCTGGGGCTTGGGCTAGGCTCAACTCCATGACCTCGTCCACAAAGAAGATTATTAACAGCTGCACTGCCTCTACTTCGTGGGGTAGTTGTGTCAGCACTAACAGTGAGCGTGAACAAATTCCCATGTATTATAAAAGGGTGTCCCCACCCTGGCGTAAGGGGTTATTCTGACAGCACACAGGCTCCATATCTGACTCCCAAGTACACACTCTGGAAGGTACTTGAGAGGTGTTTGTTCATTGAGCGAACAAATGAAAATGTGACCAAAACTGAGCCGGAGCCCCACGAAGCGCAAGAGGGAGACGGGTTTGCTGCCTGCTGTGGTGGTGCACACTTGTGATCCCAGTGCTCTGGGCACTGAGGCAGGACAATCACAGATTCAAGTCCAGCCTGGGCAACTTACTGACTTAGTGAGACTTTGTCTCAAAATGAAAAATAAAAACCTTTAAGGGCTGGAGTACAGCTCAGTGCAATGGCCCTGGGTTCAGTCTCTGGTATGTCCCCCAAAAGACACAGAGGAACTGAATTTAGAAACCTACTCCATGAGCACCATCTCCATCTTACTTTCACACCCAAAGAGTTCCGGAGTTTATGCTACAAATGGAAATGCAGAGCTGCCTCTTCCTCCTGTGGGTCAGGGCAGGAGAGCTGCCTGGGTGAGGAAGAGGAGCTGTAGCCTAGAGCCTGAATTCTTGGTTTCCAGGGCCTGTGGCTCGCTCCTCGCAGCTCAGCCAGGGCTGCAGCCTTCGCCTGGCTTCCTGCCTCTCCACCGGCATTCACTGCCCCCAGTGATGCCTCAGGAGAGGTGCTCTGCAGCCGAGGACCTGAGGCCAGCCTCTCCAAGCCCCTCTCCTGGGACAGTGGCCTCTCCCGAGACCGGGGCAATGTCTTGGCTCTTCGCCAGCAGTGCCAGTTGCTCTTGGTGGACGGTTTGGTGTATCACACATACGTCTGTGCTAGGCAGAAGTGTTTGTCCGCCGGCATGTTTTTCAGCACTCTTGAGGTGAGCACAGCCAAGACCGAGAATCCCTGGCCCAGGAACACAGCGAGCTTGTGCCCGGCCACCCAGGCTGCTGACAGCAGAGCTGGCACTGCAACTGGGGCCCTGGCGTCCAGGCCAGGGCCTCTTCTGTGGGGCCAGCACCCCAAGGGATGCCCCCTCTGGCTCTTCTGCCCTCCTGCTAATACCCCACCTCACCCCTGGGTGGGCAGATTGGTGTTCTGGGAGCGTGCATTCTTGGGGCCATCCTCACAAACCCCTCCCCACCCAGTGCACACCACAGAGCCACCCCCTCATCTCAGACATGCGGTCATCTAACTGTGGCCGAAGCCTAATTACAGTATGTGGCTTCCTGCATCATCACGGGCTGCAGGGGACCCAAGGAGCCCAGTACCCTTGCCCAGCTGTCACCTCAGCCCCCACTGCTGGATTTCCATCCTTGACTTAAGAAGCATCCCCTCCACAAACAGCAGCCCAGAGCCCTCCCCTTGGACCCTCAGCCTTGTCCTTATTGGTATCCTCTCCCTGGCGAAGGCCACACCAGCCAGTCCTTAGCCCTCATCCTCGTGCTAACTGTGAGCAGTGGACTTTGTCCCTGGACACTCCCATCCCCACCCACTAATTCTCAGGACTCAAGGCTGGCCCAGCAGCAGGGCTGCTCTGTTCATCCAGGAAGGAGCCGCACGGAGGACACTTCCCACTCTGTGGGGACATGCAGCACCCTCAGGGAAGGGCCCCAGGCCCTCTCCCTCCTCCAGAAAGCACCCAGGCTGCAGATGTGGACAGGGGAGGCTCAAGGCCTGACCAACTCCTCCGCTGACCTCATGGGGCATTGGGCATGCTGCCACTTTCTGCTCCATGGCTCACTATATGTAAAGTGGCAACCACAGCCTAATTCCAGGGGCACAGCAGAGACTCAGTCGACAAATGTTGACTACCCTCATGGCCCTTTCCCTCTTAGCCCTGGAGCCAGGGCCATGGACAGCACCATGCAGACTCCGTCCACCAGTTGCCTGTCCTGGGCACCTGTTTGCATGAGCCCCAGGCTGCAGGAGAGGTAGGCTTCTGGAACTTTCTGCACTGCTGTGCTCCTGGCTGCTGCCTGGGACCCTGCCAGATCTCAGCATTGGGCAGCAGTGCCAACCTTGCCGGGGCTGGATCTAGAGAAGGGGGTAAGCTCCCCTTCCTGCCGCTTGCTCCACACACGGGACAATGAAGTGGACAGTGTGACCAAGTCTTCTGCCCAGTCCTCCCCATCCAAGAACTGTGCTTGGAAGAGGAGCCAGGGAAGACTGGTGGGGAGGAGGAAGAGCGGCTTGGGCTCCATTTGTCCTCTGTCACTGCCACTTTGCAGACACTCAGGAGCCCTTACAGTGGCCCTTGTGCTCCTCAGGAACAAGGAGGAGGTCATCACCAAGAGGATGGCCTCAGAAAGAAAGGGTACCGGGGGAGAGTGAGGAGACATCAGCTGGCCTCACAGGCAGGGCAAGAGTCCTCTTCAAGAGGAGACTTCTCAGGTTGGAGACAGGGATGGCGGCCAATCCCACCCAGAGGTCAGAGCAAAGAGAGGGAGAGAACAAGGGAGCTGACATCAGGCCTGCAGGAGCCTCCATTCCCAGAGCAGGTGGCAACGGGCCTACTGAAGCCACCAAAGATCAGTGACCAAGGCAAGGGGCATGTGGCCACCCAGCCAGGCAGTAGGAAGGGGTACAGAGCTATAGGAGTGCTTGGGAGCCATATGCGTGACTCTCGGCGGTATTCGGTGCAGCTCAATTGTGGGCAGTAAGCACAAGTTGACCAGGTATCTCAGCTGTACTAAGTGCAATTCTCGGCTGAACTCTGCGTGTTGGCGTGTGGGGTACAGAATTGCCCAGCACTGCTCCACCATCCATGCAGCCTCCTGGGGCCTCTCAGCCTCTGAATAGTCTCTGCTTTTCCAGGCCTCAGCCAGCTCAGGAGCCAGGAGCAGAGTCAGGATGAAGACAGATACCGTGGCCTTGCCTGCTCCCAGCAAGGCCTGCCAGGCTGGGGGAGGTGGCTCGGGCATGGACGTCTGCCTGTGCCTGTGTTGTTCTGGCCTGGGCTGCCAGGGGCTCGCTGGGGACCAAAGGGCAAGTCCTACCGCTGGCTTCGCTTAGGCCAGGTTGTTGTGGTTGTTGTCATTGTTGTCAGCTGCTCCCAACCAAGCCAACCGCAGACACTCCACCTCTCTGCTGGCATGCCACGTGAGCCCACGCAAGGCCACATACTCGCGGCAGCTGGTGGCAGGGAACGGACTGGAAGGTTTTTATTGGCTCTGGCAGTGCTGACTCCATCTGGGGCCTGGTTTCCAGGTTAGGTCATAATGGAGAACCGAAACTGTTCCATGGAGAAACACTGAGAGAGACAGAGGGCCATGCTCGGGGTGGGGAGCGTGGGGGCAGGAGGGCGTATCAGCCAGAGCATGGGTCCTGATGCCACAGAACTGCATCTGGGCTGCTTAGAGGGCTCTGGGCTCTGGTGTCCAACATCCCTGCCCCGAGAGATGTCCTGGGTTCTATTTCCTCTGGGCAGCCATGGGGACATCACTTCATCCTGTGAGGACACAGAGGCCTCAGGGACACCTGGCCTCAGGGACACACTACCTTCTGAGGAAAGCCAGGTTGGCCATAGTGAAAGCCACTGTCTCTACACCAAAACCCTCATGGGCCAGGGCATGTGTGTGCTCCTGATGCATTCTTGTGTGTCTTGGCAGAGTGACAGACTCTGTCTGCTGTGTGTTCTCGGGGCTGGGACAAGTCTGAGAGGCAGTGACTGAGCAAGGAGGACATGAAATCAGGGTTCCACAGCCTGGAAGGCCATACTCCATCTCTGAGTCTCCTCCGGTCTGGTATCAGGTCCAGAGCAGCCATCTCCAAGCACATCCGAATGTTCCTGACTGTGCCCAGCTCTGTGTGCAAGCCTGGGATGTGAAATGTGTGTCTTTCTACCTTTCTGGGGCGGTCCAGCACTGGCTTTCCCGAGCTGCGATTTAAACTTAAAGATCCAGAGGGTAGAGGTGTCAAGAGCCAAGAGAAGAGGCTGCAGTGGTTAGGAAGGCTTCTCCAAGGACTCACGCTTTCCCTGGGCCCTTGCTGTGAGCCTCACCTACCCTGCCCTGGGACTATCTTCTTCTCATTCCTCACCTTCTCCATCTTTTTTAAATTTATTTATTTGTGTGTGTGTGTGTGTAATATGTTTTTTTTCCATAATTTTATTGAGAAATAAATAGTAATGAGACAGTTTTAAATCAAACTGTTAGGACAGTTTCCACTTTGTCCATCTTCCCCTGATTCCACCCATGTTCCCAGATGCCTGGGAGGTCGAGAGCCAGCGTGGCAGTCGAACACCCTAAGGAGGTGTGGAAGCCTGGCCCAGGCTCCAGAGCATGACAGAAAGCCCGACCTCTGCCTCCGCTGAGCAGTCTCTTCTCAGCCTGGACTCATGTGCATGCTCAGAGCGGTGAGCATCGAAGTCAGGATGCAAGTGTTAGTCCTGCACCAGGCCTGACTGCAGACACTGGTGCATGTTGTCCCACAGAATCTGCTGTCTTGTCCCCATTTCACCAATGGTAAAATCATCAGTCTGCACATCCAGAGGTGGCACCCCTGGGCTGGCACTGTGCCCCTCTTAACTAACCTGTGCCCTCTTCTCTCCCACCCCAGGTGCCCCCGGGCCTCCAGGACCAAGAGGACTCAAAGGAGACTCAGGCGTAAAAGGTCCTGTTGGTGGCAGAGGATCCAAAGGAGACCTTGGCAGCTTGGGCCCCCCTGGACCCCAGGGTCCTCAGGGGCAGCCTGGGGAGCCCGGACCAATGGGCGAAAGAGGACCAATTGGCCCACGAGGTTTCCCAGGCCTCAAAGGCTCAAAGGGCAGCTTTGGCACTGGAGGAACAAGAGGACAGCCAGGCCCCAAAGGGGATGTGGGGCCCCTGGGGCCAGAGGGGCCTCCTGGGTCTCCAGGACCCTCAGGGCCTCAGGGGAAACCAGGAATAGCAGGGAAGACAGGGTCACCAGGCCAGCGGGGGGCCACGGGGCCTAAGGGTGAACCAGGAATCCAGGGTCCCCCTGGCTTGCCTGGGCCCCCAGGCCCACCAGGAAGCCAGAGCCCCTATTGAAAAGGGTCCTTGGCCCAGACACTGCTGCACAGAAAGGGGTGGGAGCTTAGGAAAGCTCAAAAGCTTCACTACAGAAAATCAAAGTCATCTGACCGAAATGTGGGGTGTTCCCCAGAGCTAACCCTGCAGCTTTGGGATCCCCAGTGGTGACTGTACCACAGGAAAGCGTGCACACGCGCGCGCACACACACACACACACACACACACACACACACACACACTTCCCTGCTGGCCAGGGGTGATGATGGGGTTTCCCTGGCTGTGCAGGAGGAGAGAGCAGAAGCCCCTCTCCCGTGACTGAACCAGCCAGAAGGTGGCCACCTCAAGAAGAAGGTCTTGAATCTGTCCCTGGATGGTAGTCAGCTCCTGCCTTTCCAGCCCCTTCGCACCCTTGCTGACCAGCAGTTTCCCACAGCTTCCTCTGGCTGAGAAGAACTAGGGAGGGTTGGTGGTGTAGCTCAGAGGTAGAATACTTGTCTAGTATGTGGGAAACACTGGTTCCATCCCTAGTATCCCTGAAGGGGGAAAAAAAAAAAAAAAAAAGATCCAGGGAAAGGTTTGCAGGGCATTATAGTTGAAATTCCAGGGAGGAGGTGGGTGTGGCACCAGCAAGCCCTAAGGTCATCCTGGAAACCGAGCTCCCCCTGCCTCAAACAGGACAGTGAGACTGTTCACATGGTACCCCTGACAAATCTGTCATTTCCTTTCAAAGCATTTCCGACGTAAATCTTGCCTCTGTATCTCAGGAGCACTCTCGAGGGAATCCAAGCAACAGTTTCATCAGCAGGTGGAGATGCCACGGGCCCTGGAAATCCTGCCCAAGTGCTGTCTGGTACCCAGAAAGGCTGCAGAGGTGGCAGCAGGAGGCGGGGGCAGGCACAAAAGCTGCTCCTGAAGCTGGCATGCTTTGTTCCAGCAGAACTCTTTGGTGACCAGGAAGAACCAGAGTGCCACAAGCCCCCCCCCCCCGAAAAAGAGGCCTCTTCACGCACTGTCCTGCCATAGCCATGCACTGACCTAGCCTCACTGTGACCCAAAATGCCCCTCTGCACATGAGCAGCGAACTGGGTAGGCATGGGGAGAGCCTGGACATCCACAGGAGGCTCCTTTGGGGGTCACTTCCTACCCGCCATCAGCCTCCGGAGCACATTGGCAGAGGGGATGACGGGAAGTTACCCAGCAGGAAGCGCATCTTCCTGGGCTGACCTCGCTGGAAAGCTGTCTACCTTTATGTCAAGCACATTCAGTCACTGCGGTGTCAAGCATGGAGCGGTCTTTTTCCCAATACCACCTTGAGGACCTGCTCTCTTCCTGGCCAAGCCTGGGTGCCACCTTTCTGGTTGCCATAGATGTGCAACTGGTTTGCATTCCACACCCACCCCTCTGCCATGTAATTCTCCTGTTTGTCCACATATAATAATATCATGCCACGTAATATTATTGACCCAGTAAAGAGCTGTCTCCAGGAGGCCAGTATCTTCCAGTGCTTTCTGCCTAAGCTAGGGTGGTGGGGACTCTGGGGCTTCATGCTGACCTTTGAAAGAGAACCAGTCAGTGACCAGGATCTCACTGTGGAATCTGGATCTCAGTCCTTGGCCCCTCACTCTAGAAACACTAACATCTGCCAAGAGTTCCCAGTGGTGTGCAGAGGAGCCAGGGACTGACCGCTTCAGAGGGAATTAGCCCAGAAGGGGGTTGCTTAGTAGAGGAAGCAGAGAGATGCAGGACAAGCAGAAGGGTGGGGCTATTTATGGGCCTTGCCCCCTCGGCATCTGTGCGCCATGCGACTTGAGATGCGTGGGGCAGAGATAGGTGCTGTGGAGGTCACAGGGTGACTGAGGCCAGAAGGCCCTACTCGTCACCTCTCCTAGAGGAGGCTAACACACAGTGAAAGCTACCTGTCTGCTTAGGTCCGTGTGTGGAACAGGCCAGGACAGAGGGGAGGCACCCTCCAGCACAAGTCTTCCAGGGAGTACCAGACAGGTCTGAGAAAGTGACTCTCGGGTGGCAGCACAAGGTTGACAGGCAGAACAGGCTGGTGGAGGGAACTCCCAGTCTGATGCCTCACACAAGTCTCCGGGGAGCCAGAACTACTGGCTGTGGGGGTTGGGTGGCAGGGAGCTGGGCTAGGCCTGCAGGAGACAGGAGAGACTGAGCATGAGGGTCGGCCAGTGTCCGGGGTCCACCTCCAGAAAAGCCAGATCTGAAACAAGCCCAGAGGACAAGTTTGGGTCCAGAATGAGAGACAGGCCCACAGGAAAAAGCAATGGATTTGAGAACATAAGAGCAAAGACGTAGGAAAAACTCTCAGGGCCTGGACAGCAGTCACAAGCTAGTCCCTGGCCCTGCGATTTGAGGGGTCCACTTGAGTTAAGGGTATGCACGAAGATGGATCCCATTCTGCTCACCCATGCGGTCACCACGGGTCCCCTAAAGCTTCATCTAGGAAATAAGTGAGGGGTTGTGGAAAAGATGCAGCAGGAGGACTCAGGCTAGCAAATCTGAAGTCTGTCTGGACCCAGGGTTACTAGGTAGGAAGCTGTTGGCGTCCAACATTGCTCTCCTCCCTCCAGAGACCTGGCTGGTCTCTTGTCTCTCCACCTCTTGGTTCCTACCATCTCTCCTCTCTGCATCCGTGTCCTTTCCCTCAACCAGGGCCTTCTGTTTGTCCAAGGCCCCCAGGGCTACTCACCCCAGGCACCCCTTCAGCTGCTGATTTCCACTTCCTAAGTGAGAAAGCCCATTGTGAGCCCCTTGGGTCAGGAGGTCTGCCTGCCCAGAGGAAAAGATGGAGAAAGCAGGGGCACATGGTGAAGTGACAGACACGGAACTGGCTAGGGGCAAGCTGGCAATGGCGTCTGGTGCACACTACAGAGACAAGGCGATAACAAGGACCACAAAGGAAAGCACCACCAGGGGCTGCCATCCAGCGCAGTGCCGTTCTAAGCCCTTCCCATGCAGAGATCTTTTCGTCTTCGCTACAATTATAATGTACTTGCTTGCATCATTCAGCCTCTGCAGATGGGAAATTGAGCTTGGGAGTGTTTCAGGAACACCCAAAGTCATAGCGATGAGAAGTTTTTATTTTATTTTATTTATTTATATTATTTATTTATTTATTTATTTATTTATTTATTTAGTGGAACCGGGGATTGAACTCAGGCCTTTGCACTTGCCAGACAAGCACCAATTCTACTGAGCCATCTCCCTGGCCCCCTAAACAAAATTTTTTTTTTTTAATGAGAAGTTTTTAGAGCCTGCTGTGTTGGAGCTCAGCCTCGAGCAAGTTGCTGAGCCCCTCTGTGTTTTCTCTTCCTCCAGCAAAGCTGAGTGGATGCTCCGCCAAGTGGCCCAGGGGCTCAGGCAGCTTGGCCACCGTAACAAAACATCACAGACCACACGCTTAAACTACAGAATTTTATTTTTTACAGTGCTAGGGGCTGGGAAGGCCAGAGTCAATGTGCCAGCTCCTCCTGGCTTGCAGATGGCTGTCACCTTCCTCTGTCCTCACATGGTGACAGATAAAATTCCTTCTTGGAAGGCCACAGTCCCATCAGATTAGGGCTCACTCTGTGACCTCACTTAACCAGAATTGCCTACTAAAGCCCCCTCCTGCAGACCCTACCTCTCAACAAGGACCAGGGTTAAGGCTTTGGCATATGCATCCTCTAGGAAGGAGTGCAGTTCATAGCTCCGGGCAATGGTCAGCCCTGTGTGAGAACCAGCCACTGTTGCAGTCCTACTCACCACACAGATGCGAGGCTTCTGGAATCTCAGTGGCCCTGCACTGTCCTCAGCATAGGAGTAGCCAGAACGCAAGCCCTGTACACCCCAGTTCCCAAGGGATGCCCTGTGCTGCAAAAGCCCCAAAAGGCTGAGTGCATGGTTTGGCACCAAAGTAGTAAAGTCTGAACCCAAACTGAGAGGTGGCAACAGTGGAATTTCAGCTACTGGATTAGAACACAGGTTGTTTTAGTCTCCACAAGCTTTGCAAAGCACTACAGTCATTCCTGAGTCTCCTAAGAAAGCAAGAGCTTCCTAGGAGCTGTGGGCCTGTGCCTTGGCCTCTAAGTAGCTCTAAAGTCCCAGTGTTGTCCACTTCTTTCAACAACTTTTCCGCCTTTGCTGCAATTCTCTCACCTTTCTCCAGCTCCTCTGCCCAGGCCAGGGCTGAGCTGGCAACTTCAGCCGCCCTGGGCCTGGATGCACCTGTCAAAACATAGCCACAAGAGAGGAGCAGGGAGTTGAAAAACACGATCTGACCACACTGAACTTTCCAGCAGGGCCAGCCTGGGCTGGGCTGGGCTGGGCTGGCCGTTCCCAAAGGCCTCGCCCAGCTCACTGCGCAGTCTTCCTAGGGCCTGCTTGACCTGCAGAAGCCTTGGGCATTGCTTTGCTTGCCTTCACCTGTCCAGCCCTTTGGTCTTCTGTGTGCTTGATGTGGTAGGAGGTGTTCAAAGGCCTGCGCAGCACCTTCAGCCAGGAGAACATGAAAGTGAAGATTGTGCACCTCCACACAGGACCCACTCACTGATTCCTAACTGGAGAGGTGGGCAAGGGTGCAGGTACAGCAGGCACTTTACATGAGTTTCCCAGGGAATTCTGATTCCCATAAATAAATGCAGGAAATAAAGGAACATACTGCTTTTTGATTCATGTATATTATCTCATTTAAACCTCACAGGCAAAGTATACTAACAGGGCAGAGAACCACAGCTCAAAAACGCTAGAAGTGGCATGCAAGGCTCAGAAATGCTAAGTAATCCATTCAAGACCATGTGCTGGGTTTCCAAGATTTATAGGAGGAGGTGGCTACACTGAGCTACCGCTGATTTATGGTGGGGCTGGAAATCACTGTGGCCCGCATTTGCATCTGAAAGACCCACAGGAAGGAATTTACTCAAATCCTAGAGCAAGTTGGGTACAGAGCTGTGACAAGACCTTGGGTAAGGGCTGCCGCCAGAGCCTCTGGTCCCAACTGTCTTGTTGCTAAACAAGAAGATAAGAGCAGTCTTGGAACCGGACCAGTGTGTGTCTCTCCTGGTGAGAGTCATAGGCTTCTCCAAGGAAGCCGGGTGCCACCTCAACCAGGCAGCCTTGCAGCCCTCTCCCAGGCCCAATGGCTCCCAGACTGGGATCAATTAACAACCTCAGGGGGAGGAACACGTATGAAATAATAGGATGTCTTGTGTTTGCATTCTGTGTCATATTTATGTTTTCATATCACGAATCTACCATAAAATCATCCAAAAGTTTGAGAGGAGGACCAAGAAGAATGTGATTTGAAAAAGAATTTCTAGTTGAACAAATATATAAATTTGCATGATTTGCTTCACTCATTCATTCATTCATCCATCCATCCATCCATCCATCCATCCTGAGACAAGATCTTGCTATATCGTCCAGGCTGGCCTCCAAATTTTAGCGCTGCTCCTGCCTCAGTCACTGGAGTTCTAGGATTACAGACATGCGCCATCCACACCCAGCAGCACGATTTAGAAGGATGACCAAAATAAGGAGTTTTTGTGGGTTTTGTTTTGTTTTTACTACTGGAAAAATGAAAATACAGTAGCTAAATATCACAGAGCTCCCCTCCGGGGCTGGTGGACTTGCCCAGACACGGAACCTCAAGCTCGGTCCCCTGCAGGCCCTAGATCCTCCAGCGAGCTGTGGGCCACACAGCAGCCTGGGCCTTGCTGCTGACCAGCACCCAGCACAGGCTTCCCTTCTGCTCTGTAACCCTTGCCAGACGGTGCGGGAATCCCCTGAATTCCTTCACCTTCCTGGCTGGCTGCCACCCACTCTCGAAAGTGAAGGAGACATAAGCTCCAGATTCCTTTTAGACAAATAACTGAAAAATAAAATGACAAGTATCTCCTGGGGCTCAGTAATTAGAAGATAAACTACTCACAAAGGGGGGCGAAACTTTAAACAGACATTGCACAGAAGAACACATTAGCTGGTGAAAA